TCTAATATATAGTCTTATTACGTTATGTGACTCTTCATTAACTTGTAACTTTATTTAATATCATTATCAACTACTATTCTTAAATATAATATAGATAAATGTATAATTTTCTTAATCATAAAATAAATATTTTTTTAAAAAAATATTTCTTGAAAATTTTAAATTATTTAATTTTTAATAATATTTTTAAGTATTGTATATTTACTTTATTTTATTTTCTAAATGCATGGTTATAAATATTCTCACATTATCTCTAATTTATTTTTATTATTTAATATTTTTAGTTTTTGATTTTATCTATTAGACTTGAGTTACGTGGACTTATCCATATTATGACTTTTCTCATCATAATATAAAAAACTTTATCAATTTGAATTTAAAGAAGTTTTACCCTTTTTTCTATATGATAAAAAATCTTAAGTTTCTCTATTTATTCTTTATTTTTGCTATTATTTTATTCATACCTAATATTATTATATTGTCATGTGGCTTTTCATTAGCCTATTTGAATTTAATATCTATTCCTACCGCACTCCTTCTAATATAATATAGATAAAAATTCTAAAATATTTCAATAGTAACTTTGACTTTGTTGTTCCTATTCCAAAATCTGGTTTTCCTTATCACATTTTAAAAAATAAATCTCATCTCAAATTCTAATAATTATTGTTATTCTATTTTCTTAATTGGACTGCATTTTTAAAAATCTATTTTATACTTTTAAACTTAAACTAACTACACACAATTAAAATATTAATCATAAAAAATAATTTATTAATTGATTGAACACATTATAGCTAAATGTTGTAGTAATATTTACGTATAAAATATTCATTTGTCCAATTTGTCAATATTAATATGACTTTATTATTCTTGTTATTAAAATATTTTTTTACTGATGTCACGACCCAATTCCCACCCGGTCGTGATGGCGCCTCTCGTGAAGACAAGGCCAGCCAACAGAACAATCAACACTGTTTTTGACAATTTCTTAGCATAACAGGTTTAAACCATAGATACTGATTAATCATAAGTACGGAATAAACGTAACATAACGGGAAAAAACTATCCCAAACTCAGCCCGATGATCGGGGTGTCACAAGTCACGAGCTACTACAGAGTTGATGAAAATACTACAAGTCTGGAAACATAGTCTGAATATGAATAAAATGTGCAGAAGATAAGGAAGAAACGGGGCTGTGGACGTCGCCAGCTACCTCGTCTCTCCTAGTCCGCCTGGTTTGGAAGGAAATCAGCGCTCAGGTACGAACTCAGCTGTGCCTGTCTCTTCACATATGGTGCACGAAGTAATGAGTACTCCGACCCAGTGAGTAATAAAAATAAATAACGACTGAGAACATGAAATCCCATAAGGGCACAAATAATGCTATCCCAAGCAGCAACATCAGAAAAACAGTAGGAACCAGTGAAATGTAGTAAGGAAATCCTTTGAAAACAATTAAAAATCAATCATACTCAACCAGTAAGTCAGTCATTGTTACCTGACCGGTCAGCCATTGTTACCTGACCAAACCCGTGTTACAGTGCCATTGTTACCACTGGTCAGACATTGTTACCTGACTGGTCAGTCATTGTTACCTGACCAAACGCGTATAACAGTGTCATTGTTACCACTGTTCAATATTTAATCACTCTAGATGGGTACCCGCGCTCACTGTGGGTGTGCAGACTCCAGAGGGGCTCTTACAGCCCAAGCGCCATCAACAAGGCCTGAAAGCCTGAACAATATCAATACGAGGCCTGAAAGCCTCCTCACCTCACTCATCATGCCCTCACATAAGGCCCTCGGCCTCAATCAGCCCAGAAATAGTCAACAGCCCCTCGGGCAACAGTAAAGCAATAATACTCAGCTCAAGCAATAGTTCAAATATCAGTTTAGAACTCCAAGTTTGAGTAAATATGGCTGAGTTCAAGAAACAGTGAAAATCACATGGACTGAGTTCAAATAATATTTCAACAGTGAGGAAAACAGTGATGATAGTTCATAAAGAGTTCAAACAGTCGGCAATAAGCCCCAAATATGGCAATAAGCCCAAATCATAGTGAAAACAACAAGTCATTGCTAATACGCGGTAAAATATCATCCGGACTGGACCAAGTCACNTTATCTCTAATTTATTTTTATATTCAATATTTTTAGTTTTTGATTTTATCTATTAGACTTGAGTTACGTGAACTTATCCATATTATGAATTTTCTTATCATAATATAAAAACTTTCTTATCTCAATTTTAAATTAGTTTTTACCCTTTTTCTCTATGATAAAAAATCTGAATTTTTATTATTTTCTCTATTTATTATTTATTTTTAATATTATATTATTCAATTCCTAATATTATTACACTGTCATGTGAATTTTTATTATCTTGTGAATTTAATATGTATTCTACCTCACTCATTCCTATATAATATAGATAAAAATTAAATAACTTTCTCATCTCAAATTCAAATAATTTTTATCATTCTATTTTCTAAATTGGACCGTATTTTCAAAAATTTATGTTATGCTTTCAAACTTAAATTAACAGCACTCAATTCAAATATTAATCATACAAAAATATTTTCTTAATTATTTGAACACATTATATCTAAACGTTGTAATATTTTATGCATAAAATATTTGTTTGCCCGATTTATCAATATTAATATGACTTTATTATTCTTGTTATTAAAATAGTTTTTACTGATTATTTAATTTTTTTCTTTACTTATAAATAATTTGTATACTTTATGTAAGATCTTATTTTGCTGCTTGAATTTTTTTAATTTTAAACTCAATAAATCTTTAACATCTTAAGTAAATTTTAGTTTTATTTTATATTTTAACTTACTCCAAAATATAAATAGTCATAGGTTATCTCAATTTACGTATTTTTATATTTTTTATTTTTTATTATAGTTTTTAATTAATTTTTTCTCCATATTTCTAGCTAACATAGAAGAAAATCTATGACTGGATCAATATATAGATATAAATATAGATATAGATACAAATATAAATATAAATATAAATATAAATATAAATATAAATATAAATATAAATATAAATATAAATATAAATATATAAATAGATTTTTCTAAGATCTATTTAGATTATGTATAAGATTCATTTAAACTACTTCCATTAAATATGTTTCCATTTATAATTCAAATTTTTAATGTTGTCTTAAACTTGACAAGTGGCTTCATTTTAGCTTGCCATTTGGCTTAACCACATGCTTCACTACTCTCCTTTTAATATAATATAGATATAGATAGATATAGATATTTCTAGCTAACATAGAAGAAAAATCTATGACTGGATCAATATATAGATATAAATATACATATAGATATGTATATAGATACAAATATAAATATAAATGTAAATATAAATATAAATATAAATATAAATATAGATATAGATATAAATATAAATATAAATATAAAAATTAGATTTTCCTAAGATCTATTTAGATTATGTATAAGATTCATTAAACCATTTCCATTAAATATATTTTCATTTATAATTCAAATTTTTAATGTTGTCTTAAATTTGCCAAGTGGCTTCATTTTATCTTGCCACTTGGCTTAACCACATGCTTCACTACTCTCCTTTTAATATAATATAGATTACTACCGTATAAACAATCGTTGCATTATAATTCTCACATATCCAAACTATATCTAAGGGTACTTTAATTTAAATTAATTACTGTAATAAAGTAAACCAAAGGTTTTTAAATATTTGAGATTATTTTTATTATGCAACCAACCAAACGCAACATTATTTTCTAATGTGGCCAACTAAATACGGAGTATAATAGCAAGCTGAAATTAATTACTCCGTATAATTAAACAAAATGACATAGTATGAAAGTTGTAGTAGTAATAAAAAAAAAAAAACAGTGGTGGTTGTGGGTTGATAGACAACAGTGCACAACGGTTAATGTTGTTTGTTTGCACTTAATAGAGGTTTGTATCTTAATCATTCAGATCTCAGACATTATGCGTATATTTTTAAAGTCTGAATCTCAGATCTTAATCGTTAAGTGTGTTTGTTTTTTTAACTTCACAACCACTTAATGGGTTTGAATAGGTCTGTATCATTAAGATCTATAACAGAGACTTAATTTCACTAAAATGCTATCATTCATATTTATTATTAACTACCACCAACCGTCTACCATTATCAACTACCACCATGCCACCCACCACCACCATTCTCAACCACCACCACCGTCATCATCAATCATAGCTGCCACCATTGTCGACTACCACCACCCACCATCCCCACCACTCCCACCACCATCATTCTCAACCACAACCAACACTCATCCACCTCAACCACCAAAACTAATCACCCCATCACCATTAACAACCATAGCTGGCACTGCCCCTCATTATAAACCACCACCATGCACCACCATCTTCCTCAATCACAACTACCACCACCATCTTCCTCAATCACAACTACCATCATCACCACCCGCCATTATTAACTATCACCACCCACCACCACCATCCTCAATCACAATAGCTACCACTACCAATCACTACTATCTACTATTCTAAACTACCACCATCAACCAAATCTACCACCAACCATCGCTTTTAGTAGGCATTCACAAGCACTATCCTTTGTCATCGCCACCAGCGACTATCATATTTTAAAAAGCTATATATTTTATTGACGGAATATTAGATTAATTAGTATTTTATTTGAATTTTATGTTTATCAATTTTCAAATAAACGTAAATTTTATATATTCACATGTTAAAATCAAACAGTCTTAATCATTTGATATTTAGATCTTAATACACATCTTGGCATTCAGATGTGTACTTAAATTCAGGTATTTTAATCTTATTGCCAAGATGTGTATTTAAATTCAGGTATTTTAATCTTAATACATATCTTGATATTAATACTGTGTATTCGGATTGTGACCTTTTAATGTTAAAAAAAATAAAAAATGAGGCCTTAGAGCGGTCTTCCTTTGAGTTTTGAGATTATGTGTTGACTCTTGACAAAAATAGCTCTGTGATCTTCCTAAGGCATTTAGTAAAGTCCTCCACCAACTTCCGCTCTGCTTCTACAACATAATCATCATTTTACTGTTCTACAACATAATCGTCTGTACCTTTTGGTTTTAAGGCTCATCAAAACGGAACAGAACACGGTGTTTGATTGGTGCTTTACTGTTGGGTTGTCAGAAGCAAATAATTGGGAATATATATGATGATATTGTTCTAATCTTGCTTATCAGTGGAGCGACTAATGATGTAACTTGTTCAATTTTCAGGAGACAGAATTGGGTTTTCTTTTTGTAGGAAAAGATAAGGTTGAGAAAGCAAAGAAATTTTCTCTTTGACCATTTCCCGTTGTGCAATCATGGGAAAAGTATTCATTGTACAGCCAATTGAAAGTCTTCCTTAGTTTCTTTAGCGTTTCCAGTTGAAAGAAATAACTGGAACTGTTCAAAATTCAGTTTTTCATCTTAAGCAGAGTAGGGGTTCCGTGTTACTCTTCACTCGGTAAGGATTCTCTACATTTTATATGTTTAGTTTCTGCTGCTATGATAATTAGAAATTTTTCGGAAGTTTAATTCATTGGTTGTTGAGTATAATATTTTCTCTTTCTTTGCCTTTTCAATGTGAAATTCCCTGTTTTTAGAGTTATCCTTTAAAAGAGCTTGTAATGAAAACAAATTTGGTTATGCAGCTGTGGATGTTTCTGTCTTTGTGTTTCTCAATTATTTGAATTAGTTAAGAGAGAGAAATTGGAAATTCGTTTAGTAATATGTTTTAACCTTTATAGCCAAAGATGTAATGGTTTAACCAATAAATCTTTCATTCATTCTCCCTTCTCTGCCCAACCCCACCATTTTCTTGGAAGGATTTTCTCCACTTTTAAGATGAACATGGTATATGGCTCAACCATCTAGTTTCGCGTTACTTCGAATGATAATACATGAATCCTTATTAGTACTGGCTAAGATTTATGTTCTTGTTGTTGACTTGTTGTATGACAGATCTGCTTTTGAAATTGTGTGACTATTTATTCTTTTAATTTCTTAGTTACACTATATCTCAAACCACATTGAATTGTGACTATCTTATCTAATGTCTCAAAAGTTTTCTTGTCCTTTTCTCTTTCCTATTTTTGGTGTAAATTCAGAGTACTGCCATTATATCCAGTAAAACAGATTGGTTCTTGTTCTCCAGGAACTTAGAATTTGAACTCAAGACTGTTGCAGTCAATTTATGTTAATGTAGCCATGAAGTTCATGATATAGAATTAGTTCCCAAGTTGTAAGCTTTCTGATTTCTTTTTACCTTTCTTCCTATGGAAGGGGAGCCTTGGTGTAACTGGTATGTGACCAGGAGGTCACGGGTTCAAGCCGTGGAAACAGCCTCTTGCAGAAATGCAAGATACGGCTGCGTACAATAGACCCTTGTGGCTCAGCCCTTCCTCGGACCCCTCCCGTAGCGGGAGCTTCGTGCACCGGGCTGTCCTTTCCGGATATTTTCTCTTTTACTTTTCTCTGTTGTATGCTGACTGGTTGATACTAGTAATATTTACCATTCAAAATTAACAGCAAGGTTTTCTGCTCTTTTTAGCAGAGTTTCCTAATGGGGAGTGATGCTGCTTTAGTTGGTCAGATACCATCTCCTCGGGACATTAAGGTATTGAAAACTGTGTTTTCTCATCTGTTCTCCTTCAGCTCCTTTCTTATCTCCACAAGCTGTTAATTTAAGACAATCTACTCTCAAATTAGTCTTCTAATAACTAATGAGATGTCCCAAAACTTCCGGATTTAACCTTATCTCTCAAGCAATTATTCCTCTTAATCTTGGTGCCTTCACATTAAGAAAGAGTAAGAGTAGTCACTGGTCCTTTTACTTGGTATATAAAGAGAAAGGAAAAGAAGCTTTCTGGTATAGAGTTTTGCATGACTCAGATCTAGCTACTGATAAACTATAAAAGAGTTGTTTGACTGTTGGAATTGCAAGAGTCTTCATTGAGGATGCTATAATTCAAATCTGAAATTTATCTGAAAATAAATTTGGTTGCCTCATTTTCAGCATTATACTGGTTTAAAGTTTTGTCTTTAAGAGATTGTTGAATGCTTAATTTTATTCATAGATTATTACCTGTCAATTTCATGGTTTCTTATGTCATTATCGACTACCATTGTGCTATTTACTTTCAGCTATACATCTCTTTTTATGACTAAATAATTCCTCTATTATATGACGAATGCAGGTGCATCGTCTAATGTGCATGGAACTAATTAAATTTGTAAATAGAGTTTCGATGTTACTTCCAGCAATTGAAGAAGCCCGTCCTCGATGCAACTCAGGAATACAGGTTCTTTGCCAGTTAAACAGAGCACTTGACAAAGCCAAGGACATTCTTCAGCATTGCAGTGAATCAAGTAAACTATACTTGGTATGCATTTTGACTCAAATATCAATCTTTAGTACTGATAATTAGTGAATCCCCCTTTAAGTTATCTAATTGTCGTAATAATTAGTGTCTTCATTCACATTACAGAATATTGGTCTTGATCAAACTTAGTACTGTATGTTCAGGCATTAACAGGAGATGTTATACTTTCAAGATGTAAGAAATCAAGAAACTTGCTTGAGCAAAGCTTAAGCCAGATGCAGAATATGGTTCCTGTAATGCTGGCTGCAGAGGTGAGTCAGAAAACCTTCCCTTTTGAGAGATTAATCTGTGCTTATTTGCTTTCTTTTTTTATTCATCTTGATGGCAATTTTATATCCTGATTATTGATTTTACATCCAAGCCTGTGGTGCATGCTTTCAATCAAAAATAACTTTGCTGTTTTTAACAAGATGATGTTGTGTGTAGTGTGATTATTAGGCTATCCGTTTACTGTTGCCAGAGCCTTTCTGATTTATTAAACCTGCACGCTCATTCAACTTCATTCTTTCATCTCTTTCAATATGAAGAAGAGAAAGAAAGATTGTTCTTTTGGCTATGGTTTCTTTCTTTTCTTTCTTCTACCTGGTTGATTTCTGTTTCCATTTGCTGGCTCTGGGAATGCACTTCAATGACACTATTGGCTGCAGATATCGCAACTGGTTGCTGACCTGAGGGCTGGCATATTCAGGTTGGACCCATCTGAAGAGGAGGCAAGAAAGATTTTGAGGGAATTACTTCAGCAGTATACATCTACAACACATTCAGGGGACGAACATGTTGTTGAGGCTATTCAAATTGCTATGCAGAGGCTGCATATTACATCTCCAAAGAATCTTTTGATAGAGAAACGATCCATAAAAAAGCAGCTGGAGAAACTTGTGGAGGGTGATCCAGGAAAGAGGAAAATCTTATTGTTCTTTCTGAATCTTCTCAACAAAAATGGAAAATCAATTGTGGCTGAGCAAACAGAGAATGGATCTCTGCAGCATGAAGACTCCATCTCATTTGGAACTCAATATGAAGTGGAATCTCGTCTGAGATTTCATCATGATGATGCTCAAAGGGATATCTTCAACTCCTCTCTAATTCCAGATGAGTTCAAATGTCCTTTATCTTTGAGACTAATGTATGATCCTGTTGTCATTGCTTCTGGACAAACATATGAAAGATTTTGGATTGAAAAATGGTTTGCGCAAGGTAATGATACATGTCCAAAAACTAAAAGGAGATTGGTCCACTTGTCGTTAACCCCAAATAACTCGATGAAGGACCTAATATCAAAATGGACTGCAGCAGATGGGGTCAGCGTTGTTGACCCCAGCGTACAAGCAGCAGTAGGTCACTCATGGGAATCATCTTCCACTTCAATTGCTAGCTTGAGCAGCTCAATGATAGATCTATCTCTACCTATAGACTTCAGCAATTTATCAATGGGATCGTCTGATGCTGGTTCTGCATCACACTTTTTGCATGCTAAGATGCCAAATGATTTCAATGTGATGTCACGGGAAAGCAGTGGCAATTTTCACAAAGTTCAATCTGGTGGAAGCATCAATGAAATGGAACTGGATCGGCTCAATTCGCTTTCTTGGGAGTCTCAATGCACCTTGGTTGGAAATATAAAAAACATGTTGAAACATAACAATCGAGCTTGCGATTGGATGCCATCTGAGAAATTTATTCAAAATCTTTTTAGATTCTTAAAAGATGCATATATATCTCATGATCTGGATGCTCAATTATTGGGATGCCAGTCACTATTAGCAGTTCTAGATAAATGCGGGTAATTATTCTGATCTCTCTCACTTTATGGGTCTGTGATTCATTATTGTAGATTGAATCCCCATCTAAGCGGATTAGTGAAATGGTAACTGTTAATTTTCCAAACAACCTCTGTGGTGACAAATTATTCTAACAAAGCTCTGGGGAGAAGAAATCCACGTAACAAATTTTTGAAATCCTTTTCTAGTAATGTTTCTAATGAAATGTGAGCTCGTCGACTACTTCCCCTTTCGAGTAGAATTTCTTGGTTATTCTCAAAATCCAGATTTGATTTCAATTGATTATGTCGATACCCTCAATGTTATAATGCTTCCGCACCCTACTAAAAATACTAGAATGCGAGGTAGTATTTGTCTTCTTCTATCTTTGTTGATATAGTTTCTATTAATATTATGGTTTTTATTATCTTATTCTACTTCCAAATACTGATCCTTGTATGATTCCTTTGTCACAGAAGCAGTATACCTTACTTGAGTGATGATGAATTTGCGGTTTTGACATCATTGCTTGGTTCAGAGGTTTCTAAAGAAGCTCTTTCCGTATTCGAGGTGCTGTCCCGCCACCAACATTGTCAGCATAAAATTGCCGTGTCTGGTGCACTCACTACTGTCCTGGAAACTCTTGATGCACACGGTCCAGAATTGCAGGAATCAGCCATCAAAATATTGTGTAACATGTCAAGAAGTAGCAAAATTGGTTCCTTGATTGCACCTTCGGAGTTGTTTCCCAAGTTGGTCCCTTTTCTTGAGGATACAACTCTTGCAAGAGATTGTGTTATTATTTTGCAAAACTTGTGCATCAATGAAGATGCTAGAATTGCTATAGCTGAGACTGATGGTTGCATTGCCTCAGTTGTGAGACTGCTGGAACGAGACAGTCGCAAGGACCAGGAGCATGCAGTGAGTTTTCTTCTTTCTTTATGCTCTCAAAAGGTTCAATACTGTCAACTGGTGATGGATGAAGGAGTCATCCCTGGACTTGTCACTGTATCTGTTAATGGAAACAACAAAGCAAAGGCAATGGCTTTGGAGTTGCTGAGAGTGTTGAGGGGTGAAGTTAGTGATATTGCAGAGTCTTTTGAATCAGAGGTTCACATTCCTAATACCCCTATCATTGACTCTACTCAGCAGAAATCTTGTTCCAAATCAACAGGACTTTTTGGGAAATTATTCTCAAAGCGTACTTCTGCTGCTACCAAAAGGATAAAATAGAAATGATGCTTTTCGATTTCACCATCTTTGGCAGTTGACATCTTCCAATGAAGATTGAACATGTCAGCAGTCTGGACTATGGCCGTCGGCCTTGCGCTGATTTTTTTGTAGATAGCTTAATATGCACATTTTTGCATGGTAGTATGTGTACAATTTCGCAAGTTCATCTAGTTTTTGTTACTGAACATGGACAGGAATGATTCATATAGTCGTAGCTGACCCTAAAAAGCTTGGGGTAGAAGGTGTAATTATTGTTATTTTATCTAGTTATTGTTTGTATTTAAATGATTGACATTTCACAGGTTGTTTTCAGGTGTATATTATTTTGTAATACGAGTAATGACGGTTTCTCGATGTAAAGAAAGATTATTAGTGTTAGTGGTGAAGTCACACTATTCACATTATTGCGCACCTCAGTGACAGTGAGGCTTTTACTATCTTCCTTTCTATTTTATTAATCAGCTTTGAATTATGAGTAGAAAATAACTGATAATTGTTGATTTAAAATATATCATATATACTTAACACTATCTTGATAAATGTAACGTGATCTGCTCGAGTCATTATGATTTACGGTAGTGTCTAATATTCATTCAATAGGTACACTCTTGATGTAGTTTAAGTATTCAACAGGTACAATTTTCATGTTGTTGAAGTATTTAATAGGGTACTAGTCGTAGTTTTGGTGTTAAAATGAAAGAATTGAACAAGTTTAAGGGACCACTTATGTGTTTGGCTTTTATTCTTTTCAAATAAGAATATGAAGATTTGCTTTTAATTAGAGCTGTCAATATCGGCTGGGTCGGGCCGGGCTAACCCAGCTCAACCCACGTAGGCTTTAGCAATTGACGGGTCGGGCTAAGCTAGCCCACCATTTTGATGGGCCTTATAATGATCAACACACCTCAGCCCGATATAGGCTGCGGGCCCCCCACAGTCCTACCCATTATTTTTTAAAATATAATTATATATTTTTTCTTTAAGTTCTAGCCCAAAAAAAGATAATTATTTAAAAGTTAGAAAATATCTTATTGAAAAAATTTCGCAAAACTTAATAACTTTTTATACTGTTCCAATATATCACAACTAGGGGTGTGCATTCGATTTATCGATTCGATTTTGACCCTTATCGATAATTACTTATCGATTATCGATTTGTACATATGCTTATCGTTATCGTTTCAATAAGGTTTCGATTTTTTCGATTTCGATTTATCGATTTTGGGGGCTTATTGATTCGGTTATCGATTACACCAATAAGAAAATTTGCGGGATTCCACGGAAAGTATATCGCTATAAACGCGCCTAACTAATATGGACAAAAAGAAGCTAAAATAAGACGAACACCATTTATAATATAAAAATTGTGTCAACAAGCACATGCAACAAAACTAAAGTAAGGGATCAAATGTATGCCACCAACACTCCAACGGTATAAAAAAACAAAACAAAACAAAACACATTTGTTTTCCATTAATTTGAACTTCATTCCCTTGATCTTTAAATATCATCATTCCTTAAATGTGGTAGAGGAAATAATAGGGTAAGGAACTTAGGGTAAAGGAAAGGGTATAGATTAGGTAAAATAATATTGTATAGCCGCTTCAAAATAGTAGCGGAATATATATACATTCCGTATGTTATATTAATCTACACAAATAGGTAATTACTCATTTAACAAGTGTCTACAGTCTAGGGGTGTGCATTCGATTTATCGATTCGATTTTGACCCTTATCGATAATTACTTATCAATTATCGATTTGTACATATGCTTATCGTTATCGTTTCAATAAGGTTTCGATTTTTTCGATTTCGATTTCAATAATAAATAATCGATTCGATTTATCGATAAACCGATTCGAATGCACACCCCTAAATCACAACAAACACACACAAAAAAAGTAAAAGACAAGACTATATTTCATTCACTAAAAGTCAAAACTCAAAATAAACTATTCAAGAAAATGTCCATGACGCTTATGGGATATCCAACACATCATCTTCATCAAACACATTTGAATCCGTTTGTGACAAGATTGTTTTAACATCTTTACTTTCATCTACATCTATAATTCATATGCAATTCTAATTAGTTAAGTATTAAGAATAATTAAATTTTAAAAACTAATAATGTTCAAATTCACATAAAAAAAAATATTACCAGTTTGAGTTTGGAAAAAGTTGTGCAACCGATTTCGAGTAGTAACAAGTGTTTGGGTATTTTCATAATAAATGCAACTTCTGTACTTTGTAAGAACACGCCACCAATGCTAAATGTTGATTCCGATGCTACAAGGGTAATAGGAATACTAAGCACATCACGCGACATCACTGAAAGATCGGGATATTTTCTAGAATGGTCCTTCCAATACATGACAATATCATCTCTTGAAACTTCTCAAGATCAAGTTTTGGTTCTTCTAAGTAAAGATCCAATTCCGACCTTCCATCTCTAGAGGCAGTATACTTTTTTTTTTTATAATTTTAAATAAATATTTTATTAGGCCCACGATCCGGCCCACCCAGCCACAGTCAAGCCTCACAGGCCACAGGCTTACTCGGGGCGAGCTTAAAAGCCTCGTTTGTGAATGGGCTCCAAAACTTTTAGTCCAACCCTATTAAATTACGGGGTGAGCTGGGCTGACCCAACTGCCAAGTTCATATTGATGGCTCTACTTGTAATGTCTCAAAACTATCTTTATCGAAGTATAAAAAAGATCACTATAAAGAGCAAAGATTAATAGGTCACAATAGCCGTTCAAAAAAAAAAAAGGAGAAAAAAAAATTATCCGTAAGTCGCTATTACAACTGGAAATTCTTTTTTTTTTTTAATCTTTTCTCGCAAGATCAGTAGGTCAGCATAGTGGGTCCTGTGTATTGGCAAGTTTCTTGTTGTTGGCTCAATAATTTCCCCCTCAACTAAGTTTCATATGGCCCATTACCACGATTCACTGGTCAATTTTCGAGATTATTATGCGCCACTCACATTGTTAGAGTATTATAGCAACCGAAGCACGCAACTAGCTTCTTCTTGTATGAGTGTCGCCCCGCACCATCACTCCGCCATCTCCATACTCGTCCCGCTGAACCTGAACTCTGATACCAGTTGTTAGGCTAAACTAGCCTAAAGATACTCTTAACATGGTGTGATATTGTCCGCTTTGGGCCAAGCCCGCACTGTTTTCCCCAAAAGGCCTCACATCATTAAGAAATGTCATTTTTACCTTCCTATATCATATATGAAACCTTATTACCCTCAATGTTTAAGGTTTGTGTTAATTACATTTCAGCATACCAAATTCCATTTATATACCATAATTCAAATTAGGGGTATAATTAATGCTTCATTTATATTAGGCGTTAATTTAGGAGCGTATATTCTCACATTTACCTTTACCCGCCTCTCTCTCCTCCCACCCCCCCACACCCCCACGTTTTACCTTCACTACCTCACGTTTACCATCAGTTGTCCTCTACAGACCCACGATTCTACAATTTTTTCTCCATTTAATTTCACAAAATCCCAATTTGAAGTTCCATCTGATTCAAGTTGAAGTAATCTTTCTCCCAAATCGAACACGAGGATGTTAGGAAAAGGAGAATCGAACACGATGTTGACGTTGCTCAAAGCCGGGGATCATCGGCCCTTCGATCAGATCGTCGCCGACTTTGCCTCCAGCTTCCCTCCCCCTCGCCAATTTTCTGCTTGCATCTCTCTCGCCTTAATCCTTGACGTAAATCTCCCTTGCCAATAATATTCAAACTATCTACATTGTGTGAAGACTCAATGTAGTTATTGTATATAAATTTTGTAGCTTTTTATCATAATTTTTAGATGTTTACCTCCAAGTTCTATGTAATATTTGTATATAACTGTCAGTTGAATATAAATTATACAACAAAAAATAAGAAATAAATACTCCAATCGTAGAAATGTGTTATCCACAATTAATCTGCAAATTGTCAACAAAATTTTACAAAAACTACAAATTAACTACATATAACCTACATTATAACTACAATCTGAAAACAATTTATACATGGAAGTTCTTCAAGTTGGAATTGGCCACAACTACATTTCTTGTTTTCTAGACACACAATGTACCGCTTCACACCATCCAACACAGTATGTATATGATCTGTTGAAGCCCTCACCCACATTTTCAGAACAAACACAAAGAAAAAAATTTTACAATATTAAAAATATAGTATCTACAATATATCTTCATTTTATCTACAATTTATCTACAAATTAACTACAAACTACAAGTAAACTACAATTTGCCTACAATTTATCTACAATCTGGAGACACTGTTTATTAAAATATTTTTTTCCTGCACCAAATAAAGAACTTGTAGTCAAATTGTAGATATATGTAGTAAATTTGTAGATAATATCTTAAAACTAAAATTCTAAGCATTTTCGAACTACACAAACTTGCATTCTCATCTACCACAATGGCATCAACTTCAAAATCTCTAAATCTGCCATAGTTATCCCAATTTCCATTCAATTTTAGCATTATTGGGATTTTTGACATGATTTCGTGTAGTTGAGAGAAAAAAGATGAAGAACAGATATAGGTTCGACAATTTGAGTACTGAGGACGTGAAGAACAATTTTGAATTCTACAATTTGTATTGCGTTGTTGAAGCTTCTGAAGCTCTGCGTTGTTTTTGAATTGTAGTGAAAGAGAGAATTACGCAGCAATCAGATCTCTTTCCGTTTCAAATTTCGAATTTAATGTGGAAAGAATCAAACGCAGATTTTGTGCCTTTTTTTTCGCGCGTTTTAAATGGCAGAATCTGCCTAATTATGGATTGGTATATAAATTGTAGTTAAAGTGTGGACTGGGCGGGTAATTAACAAATTATGCACATTTTTGGTAATAAGGTTTCATATATGGTATAGTTAGGAAAAAATCCCTATAAAAATCCCTACACCTTATATGTAGACTCCCAATCTTTTCAGCTACCAATGTGAAATTTTATTTTCACACCCAACACTTATACAATATATAGTGCAAATTATATTTTTAAGAGAGTATAAAAAAGTAAATCTCAATTTTGCATAAGTCGTCTCTAACTGTCAACAAAAAGTTTAATGGTGAAAACCATATGTATGAACCAACGAGTATCTTCATCCTTCCTCTTACCAATTATTATCAAACACATTCTTTTTATCAATGATAGGAGATATTTTAGAAATACTAACAATAATAATAACACACCCACTGTAATCTCAGAAGTGGGGTTTGACGAGGATAGTAGTGTGTACGCAGTCTTATTCCTACCTTGCGAAGGTAGAGAGGCTATTTCCGAAACTCTCGGCTCAACCAAAACAATAATTTTATTATAAAAATTATCCAATAAATTTTCTAAAAGGTATAACAAAAACAATAA